GTTAGGTGTCGGGGGAACCGAGTTAACATTACATGCGTGGCTTCCACGGGTTCACCTGTCGGGGAAACGAGTTAACGAGTTACAGCGATGGCCTTCCACGGTTTCCACCTTGTCCGGGGCGGGAAACCGCAGTTCACGAGTTAGCAGCGTGGCTTCCACGGGTTTCACCTGTCCGGGAAACGAGTTTTTACACGAGTTACGAGCGTGGCTTCCACGGGTTCACGCTGTCAGGGGAAACGAGTTTAACGAGTTACAGCGTGCTTCCACGTGGTTCACCTGTCGGGAAAACGAGTATAACGAGTTCACAGCGGGCTTCCCAACGCGGTTACCTGTCGGGGGGAAACGATGTTAAGCGAGTTACGAGCGTGGCTTCAACGGGTTCACGCTGTCGGGGGAAAACGAGCTAAGAGTTACAGCGTGGCTTCCACGGGTTCACCTGTCGGGGGAAACGAGTTAACGAGTTACAGCGTGGCTTCCACGGGTTCACCTGTCGGGGGAAACGAGTTAACGAGTTTACAAGCGTGGCCTTCACGGGTTCACCTGTCGGGAAACGGTTTAACGAGTTACAGCGTGGCTTCCACGGGTTCAGCCTGTCGGGGGAAAAGAGTTAAACGAGTTACACGGCGGTGGCTTCAACCGGGTTCACCTGTTGGGCGAAAACGAGTTAACGAGTTACAGCGTGGCTTCCATGGGTTCACCTGTCGGAAACAACATGGCGGCGGTGCGAGCTATCTGTTCGCGAGTTGCAACTGACGACTCGTAACTTAATTAATTGGGATTGCGACCGCAGCGGCGTCGTTAGACAGCGATGGCGGAGGCGGCGAGAGGAAGAGCAGGTGGTGAGGGATGGGGGATGAGGATGGGGTGGAGCAGAGCTCATTCACCTCATTAAATGATTAAAGTTGCAATTAGTTATAGGCAGTGAAGATTACATGCTGTACTCACAGTTGCAGGCTGAACTCAGGTGAAGGCAGTTAATAGAATCACAGGTGAAGGCAGCTGATAGAAATCACAGTGAAGGCAGCTGATAGAATCACAGGTGAAGGCAGCTGATAGAATCACAGGTGAAGGCAGCTGTAGAACTCCCCAGGTGAAGGCAGCGATAGAATCACAGGGTGAAGGCAGCTGATTAGAATTAACAGGTGAAGGCAGCTGATAGAATCACAGCGTGAAGGCAGCTGAATAGATATCACAGGTAACAAGCAGTTAATAGAACAGCAGTAAAAGCAGTTAAAGTAGAATTAGCAGGTAATAGCAGTTAATAGAATCACAGGTAAAAGCAGTTAAGAGAAATTAAAGCAAGTGGGGTTAAGCAATACCATGGCAATGCAGGGCTTTCTTCTGCAGGAAAATTAAACAAAGTGAAGGCGGGCGCTGCATGACTAGAAAGCAGGGGGAGAGAAGGGGAGTTAAATGGGGGGGGGTACACTCCCCCCGCAGCAAAAGTTAAAAAATTTGAATGTCTTAGGCTGCATTTGGAACATTTTTCACACGGGGATGTTAAATTTGACAATGGCGGTGCGCCACTGTGCCTATATGTATAAGAACACCCCCTGCAGACCGGTGCGGGGCCACTGCCAGTAGTAATGTATAAATACGAGTAGAGTGAAACGGGTCTGAGTGTGATAGTGACACCTAGTAAGTAGTGAGTGCTTAGTGGGTAAGGAATACTGGTATGGAAACATGAGGCTGGTGCTCGCGATCAGATAGTACGTATTAAAAAGAGTAAAAGTAAATAGTAATTAATTGGTATCCCCGCGACAAAGTCAGGACAAGTACATATGGTTATTAATGATCTGTCAGCCACCCGCCTTGGGCTCGCCCCTCCCGCGTCAGAGACTTTCTCTATCTGCTCTATCACTTCGACCCCTTAATTGACCTAGGATCTCTAACTTGGTGTATTATGGCGCTGTGAGCACATACTATGAAGGAGAGAAAGGAGTGAACAGCAGAACTACGCGTAACCAAAACCACCTAAAGCAACCAATTTATAACATACTTGAGCAACATCTCAAGGCGAATGATGTGTAACAAAGCGCTTTGATCTTTGTGACTTATTTAAATTTATCTAACCTTCTTACGATCCAATATAACAAGAGATAATTCCAATTCATACTAGAATCACGGAGGATAACATGTAAGGTGGCAGAAAACTAGCCCTATATCTAGTCGGTTGTAACTGAATAATAAATTTTAATAAGTTTTTAAATAAAGATATAAGTAGAGACATTGCTACGAGGCTATTCCTTTCAAATTGTATTTAACTATGTGCATGAGAGTGCATCATTATAAAGTTAAAACTTTTAGGTTTTATAGTTTATATCGTACATGTTGTTTAATTAGATAAACGCAAATGTCTTTTAGTCGTTGTTTAACGTTTTAGGATTTATCCAGTTCCGCTTAACTTTATGTTTTAGCTATTACATTAAACAATATCATGTTAATGGTTTTGGTGTTTATCACTTAGGGCCATCCTTAACAACGACAAATATTTTTTGGCTGTCGCTCCGACCGACCCACGAAAATAGCCGACAACAACAACAGAGTTTTTTAGCATTTTGGGCTTCCTTTTTTTTTTTTTTTTACATTCCTCATGTTAAACTGAAACACAAAGCATGTCTTTGTGTGGCAAACATGAGGAAACTTAAGAATAACTATTATGCCTCACAAAAAAGACCTTCCTACCCACTAAAGAAAATCATGGGTCGGGGACAGCAACATAGAATTTTTTAAGATGGCCTTACGTTAATCCTATATTATAAGTCAACTATATTATGCAGACCTTTGATTAGATGTGATATTTAGACTATTAATGCCGGCGATATCCCCAATCGACTTACTTTTCATGTTATACGCGACAATGCCGACGCTGGCCTTGCAAGCAGGATTAGCTGGCATCACTTACTGGCCACCCTGGTGTCGGGCATGTTAAACAGACTGACTGCCACCTGGTGTCGTGCTGTGACACTGACTGCCACTTGGTGTCGGGCTGTGAAATCGACTGCCACCTGGGTGTCGGGGCTGTGACACCTACTGCTATCTAGTGTCGTGCTGTGACACTGACTGCCACCGTGGAAATGTTCGTGGCTGTGACACTGACTGCCAACTCTGATGTTGGCTGTGACTCGCAAAATGCCACTGGGTGTCGGGCTGTGACACCTACTGCAACCTGGTGTCAGTACAGTGCTGTTGTGCTTGTTTGTAGACAGATGCCATCAAGAGCGTATAAGCGTACCCGGTAACACACGCACGATTATAACGTACAACGCGGGAGCACGCACGTACAACGGCGGGTATCGCACATAAACAAACGCACGTGCACGCGGGTCAGACGCACCGTAACACGCAGCGTACACGGGTACACGCACTGCTGCATACTCAACAACAACAGAGCAGCTTTGGGGCACGGCAGGGCGAAGCGGCAAAGGATGAGATCAAGTGCGTGGATACTCCCGCGTGAACGTGCGGCCCTGTAACGATGCGGAATAATCTTCTACAACACCAAGCATGTCACCTAAAAAGGTTGCCTGGTATTGCGTAGATAACAAATAACAGGACAACAGCGTGGTAACGTGTCGGTGTAAGCCGGCGAGAAAATAAGAAGCCCTTAATACGTGCGTGTAACCAAAAAAGTAAGGCAAAAAAACACAAGCGCTGTTACAGCAATGTTAATACGCAATCTAATAGCAGGGGGCATCTGATCATAAACAAAAAGGCAAAAGGCATCATTTGATTAAAAAGGCTCGCTATACTGTACTTGAGTGAACAAGATTTAAAAAAAAAAACCGGGTTTAATTGCGGGGTTCGGGTGTCACAATTTTAATCTATTATAACAAAAGCCAAAGGGCACTGGAGGTAAAGAAAAGGTGAAGGGTCAAACGACAAATGAAGCAAAGTCGGGTCAACAGTGGAAGCGGCCAAACAACCAACAAAATTGTTGTAGATCAGAATGTCAAACAGGAAGCAGCTCTGTAAAAATTAAAAAAAGCAGGACAAACAAGGGTGGCAATGTTCAGTGTCACTCAAGAGCACGAACAAGGATTCTAAAAAGTCGACACAATAAAGAGAAATGGGTGGCAAGCTAAGAAACAGCCAGAAAAGGTCTTAACGAGAAAGGTGAACAAAAAAGAGATGCGTTAGATCAGAAATATTTCAAACAAGCAAAAAACAAAGAAAAGCAAAACCAAAACGTGGCAAATGTCAAGTGGTCAAAAAATAGAAAATAAAGGCTAACGGACACCAGGTGCAAGTTTCGTGTAACAGCCGCAAGCAAAGAGAGTGGCAGTAAAGTGATGTCAAGTATAAAAGTCTGCTGTGCGGAAAAACAGGATGGTTCCCAAAGGAGAGAACATTAATAAACAAAAAAGAAATAAAGTTGTATTGGGTGGAAAATAGCGGAGGACAGAATAAAGCTAAAAGATAGTGAATTAACAAGTGAGGCTTAAGTTCAAAAAGTTGCATGAACTATAAAAGAATATATATTTGGCTTTTAATAATAGGTAATAAAAATAAGAGAAGAAAGTCATCCTTAAATTAAATTCTACTGTTTGCTGATCACAAAACGTCTGACCCATGATTTTTTTAGTGGGTAGGATTGGTGTCTTTTTTGCTGAGTGCATGATAGTTATTTTAAGTCTGTCCAGGTTCATGTTTGCGTCACATATCGGTCAATTCATGTGGAAAATTAATTGCAGTCAAGTACTATGTAAAGGTAATGTAAAGAGAAGAAAAAAAGAGGAACTCAAATGTAGAAAGAGCTAAGTACTTGTTTGGGGTGGCGGAGGGAGTCTAATTTCGTGGGTCGGAATACGGAAAAAAAAAGAGGACAGCAAACGATTATATTTTTTTTTAAGGTGACAACTAACCTGATATATTAACACAAAAAGACCATCCTATACATGATATTAAGTAAGTAAGTGAGATAAATAAGCTAAAAAAAAAAAAAAAACGGCATAAAGGTTAGAGGGCGAAAAAAAAACAATGGAATAAAACTGTAAAAAATGGCTAAGTTAAAACGTGAGAAAAAGCTTATCGACATTTGGGTAAATATTAATTAGTCTTACGCAACATGTTACGTATAACTATAACATTAAAGTTAACTTTTAATTATGATCACTTTAAAAGATTTAAGGCTCTATGCATCTACCTGAACACGCCGAAAGAGAAGAAACGCACCTAACAGTGGTTAATAGACCATTCATGAAAGTATGGCTGGTAGAATTCACTATAATGATTCACTGGGTTAGTTCCAAACAAAAAACCCCTCTCAACAGCGCGTTCATCTATCCAGGTACAACGACTAACACAGGGACAGTTGGTACGCAACAATGCTCAAAGCAAAAAAAAACACAAAGGGTTATTCCAAAAAGTGTTTTAAAAAACAAAGGGGAGTGGAATGTAAAAGTGGGGATAATATGTTATTTTAAAACAAACAAAAAAACACACGTGAATCTAAATAAATGAAAAATGAAAATAAATCTCATAGATAAAGGACGTAGTAAATCGGTAAGTAAATATTAGAATATCAGCCATAAAGAACAAATAAAGTTACAGCTTTATATCAGGCACAACGAATTCTAAAACTGATGAAAGTGATAGTCAACTAGAGTATGATAGTAACAATTGGTTTGGGGCTTAGGTTGTTGGGTAGCGATGTGTCGCTGGTCACACTTCTGGCGCCCAATTATGTGTAAGTATAGTATGTCCAAGTTTTGGTAGCGGTAGGGGTCAATTAAGGGGTCGAGTTATAGAGCAGAAGAAATTTCTCTGCGGCGGACCGGACGGCGGTTGGCTGGACAGACATGCAACCATGAGTACGTTTGCCGTTACTTGTTCGCTCGGGGATAAATTAATTACTATTACTTTTTACTTTTTTTAAACAACGTATCTTATCTGATCCACACAGCCTTATGTCATTGACTATTCTACCCTACTAGCATACTTACTACTAGTACTATCACTACTAAGTTTTTCATCACTTCACTCTACTCCTATTTCTACATTTACCTACTGGCCTGGCCCCACCTCATTTGCAGGGTTTCTTATACTATGATGGCATCCAGTGGCGCACCGGCCATTGTCAATTTAACATCGCCGTTGGTTGAATGTTTCAATATTGTCAGCCTAAGACATTCAATTTTTTATACTTTTGCTGGGGGGGTCCCCCCCATACACTCCTCTCTCCCTCTCTGCATTCGCGTATGCAGCGCCGCTCTCTTCTGTTTAATTTTCCCTCAGAAGAGCCCTGCATTGCCATTTGGTATTGCTAACCCCTTTAAATTCTCTTAACTCTTTACTGTGATTCTATTTAGCTATTCCCTGTAATTTCTATTAACTGCTTTTACCTGTGCTTCTATATACTCTGTCTTTTAACTCTGTGATTCTATGCAAGCTGCCTTCACCTGTTGATTCGCTATTCAGCTTGCTCACGTCTGTGGATTTCTATCAGTCTGCCTTCACCTTGTGATTCTATCCGCTGCGCTCACTCTGTGATTTATTAGTGCCTTCACTTTTTGATTCTATCAGCTGCCTTCACTTTCTGTGATTTATTCAGCTTCTTCACTTTAATTCCTATTCAGCTGCCTCTCACTTCTTGTGATTTTTCTATTTCTGCATCTTCATCTTCTTTTTTTTTTTTTACTCTTTTGAGTTTCATGCCTGTCACTGTGAAGTACAGATTGTTTATTCTTTCATTTGCCTATTCATATTTTTTAATTTGCATTTTTTTTATTTTAATTCATTTTATTGAGGTGAATGTATCTCTGTGCCTTCCACCCTAATTCCCTCATCCCCCTGCTTTCCACCCTCCCCACTTTGCTCTTCCTCGCTGCCTTTCCGCTTATTTGTCTTTGTCTAACGACGTCTAAAACAAAATAAAAACAGAAAGCTAGAAGAGCAAGCAGGTCGCTAAATAAAACAAAACAATAATAATTACTTATAAAAGTGGTAGGAGTCGGTGCAGTGGGATGCAACTGAAAAAAACACTAAACAGCGTTTGACAGA